CTGATGGTGATCTTACAAAAGAATACCAACAACTTATGTTGCAACAGTTGGAGGATTTGGATGTTAACCGACTCCATGCAATAGGTCGAAGTGTGAAACAGAGTGAAATCAGAGCAAGGAATTACGGAAAGAAAGTTCTTCACAGGACATTCCAAAAAGGAGACCTAGTCTGGAAGACCATTCTTCCTACATATAAGAAAACTGACCAATTGGGAAAGTGGTCACCGAATTGGGAAGGACCATACATTATTCAAAAAGATATTGGGAATGGCGCTTTCATTATTGTAAATCATGAAGGTAAGAGAGTACATGATTGTATTAATGCTAAATATCTGAAGAGGTATTATCCTGCCTTTTCAGATAACAAAACTGCCTGAAACAAAATATTATTCAGAACCCATTTGTGGGGTTCGAACCTATTTAAAGGTTCATTTCTGTTAGTCATCATGTATTTGTGAGAAATTTTCTGCCTCTGAATCAGAATTTTCATCCCAGTGAGTGGATATTAGTTCTGGTTCTTCTTCAATAAGATCTTCCAAATCTGGTCGGTACCTCTCCCATTGGCTTTGCATTTCGTCTAAATCTTGATTGGTACGTGCTTGCATGTCTGTTATGGCTTGATATTCACGGTCAACAATGGTACGCAATCTTGAAAAGACTTTTCGTTGATTGGAAAATATATTATCCCAACCAAGATCTGGAAGTATGGTTGCTGCGTGATTTTCAATCATTTCCATGTGATGATGGAGGTCAGGAATGCGGCTAAGGATGTCACGAAGAGGTTCATACCCCTCAATGATTTTTTCCATTAGGCGGATGACGCGATGAATGGTTCTTCTACCTCGTTGGGAGAATCGGAATTTGAAGTCTAGTTGCTTGAGTATATGTAACAAGTCTTCTGCATGGCCTCCAATAGGGTGATTACCTACAAAGAAGGGTTGAAGAACACCTTCCCAGTTGCTTGATGGAACATGAGGTCGGTCATTCGCCATGTTTGTTAACACTTCAAGTGTTTTGGTTTTCAAAATATGCCTTGGAATTTGTGTGTTTCTTAATATGTGAGAAACATTGTTCTTTTAAGGGAGGAGTTTGTTTCGGTTCCTCAAAAGTTGGAAATTGGAAGGTGATCCTTGTTTTGAGAGAAGAAGGAAAATATATTACTAAGTCAAATGTTGTTACAGAGAGGGAAGTATTACAAAAGTGCCCCTAGGGCAGTTTTTATATGTGTCCATTTGATTTCATCCCTGGATAGCCTTCTGGTATTAGCAGCCGTCTGATATCTTCTGATGAATTGGGATCGAGCTTGGGTTTTCAGCTCTTGATCCAATTCGGCCTCGTTCTTTGTATACTTCTCAAGCAGACGCTGCTCATTGGTAATTTGATTATCCAGGATAGACTGTTCCTTCCTTAGCTCCCGCAATTCTGCCTCCTTTTTCTGAATGGATTCATCAACTTGAGCCTTCGTGCTAAGGAGACCGCCCAACCTTCCAGTAGTTTGCTGAAGGGATTCTCGGGTCTTAGCCAAAGAATTCTCCAGTGTTGTTTGATCGAAGACAGGCTGGGGGGTTTCGGCTGACAGGAGTCCAATAACTAACACTTCAGTCTTGAGCTCCGTAAGTCTTTCCATCAGCCGATGCAGAATGGGGACGGCTGGCGATTCCGTCGGAGTGTAAAAAAGAAGGCCACCAACCGTCTGAATGAGTTTGTCCAATAAGTCGGATCTTAATTCTGAAAGGGGATGGTTAATGGCCTCAGTGAATATAGTTTGGGCCTCCGCTGGAACCGGAACAGTCGATAGGATAGCTAAGTCCGAAGGCCCCTGCAAGTCTTACAGTTTCAATAAGTATTCCAAGGGAGGTGCAAACTTATTCAGATAAGATATGTGTCACCTCTGGGCGAACTGCTGTCAGTGAAGGGGGCAACAATGAGGTCGGTCGAGTAGGGCGGACAGCTGGTATAACAGCAGCCGACTCGTCGGCTGCTGCGAATGGTCGCTGAGGTGCCGACCTGGGTCCCTATGGAAAGTAGTATATAAAACAGTTAGTGTTTTTAGAAAGAAACATTGTGGCATGAATTGGTTTAATCTTACCAAATTCACAGAAGTCTCCGAATCGGACGAAGAAAGTTCTTCTATTTCTGGAGGTTGGGCTGCCACAGGTGGTTCTTCTGCCTGCCACTCGATTGCTGGAAGTAGCGCCGCTGCTGGCTGGGCGGCTGCTGGTTGGGCAGCTGCGTCTAGAGCCACTGCAGCCGGTATCTCAGGAGCAACTGGGATAGCCGCAGCTGAGGCACTTTCGGTTTCCAGCGCGGCTGCATCCGATTGGACTATTTCGGGATCAGCAGCAGCAGGGATGTCGTCTTGAGGGTCAGCTTCGGCAAGGGCAGCTGGTTCTTCCTTCGAAATGGATGAGTCTGATGCCATGTATGGCGGTCGACCCATCTGGGAAGTAGTCCCCTCGCTGTCTGAAGAGACCCCTGCTGCTGATGCGATTGGTGAAGGTGTCTGTGAAAAATTATGGAAATGTTGTTGTTAAATACACCAAGGTTGATCATTAGAATCCTAAGTATTGCTGATAAGAGGACTTACTGGTTCTATAGGCAGTGCTGGTAAAGATTGCCTCCTGGTCGGGTGCCTGGCCCGACCGCTCCTCGGTGCAGGAGGAAGAGTTTGCCTCCTTGTCGGGTCCTCCGCCCGACTGCTCATGGCAAAGTGAGAAGTGGAGTAGGGGTTTGGAGAGGAATGCCTCAGTCTGGACCAAAGGTACGATTGAATGGTCGGCTGGGGCTGGCGTCGTTTGTGTGGTCGGTGTTACCAAGGTCGGTTCTGGTGAATGAAATGAGTGAAATCAAAGTTAAGATATAGTGAATTGGTTCACGGTTTTAAGAAAAATTACCTATTCGGGGTCGGGTCCTTGCTGACGTCCTAGTAGTTCCAAGGTCCGCCGGAGCTTGCTGGTCGGCCCCAGAGGTCGGGGGTGTTTGCAGCTGGGAAGCTTTCCTTTTTCGCATTGGAACGCTAGATCCGATTCCCGGGGCGGCTGTTTGTTGCTGAGTGCTAGTATGTCTAGCCGCCCCTAGAACCAATCCTTGGGGGGGAAGGAGTATGTTCAGCAACCGATCCTCATCAGGGGAAATCAGGGGCCATACAACCGACCACCATTCATTGAATGTATCTACAGTCTCAGGGTTGGAGCGGAAAGGAATATAAGAATTGGAAATTATATACGTGGTGAGCTGGGAGATATAAGAAGGGATTGAATTAGGTAGGACTCGTCGGTCAGGACTTTGAAAAATTATATGAGGACAAGCGACGGGTCCAGGGATACCTTGGCAACAGCCGAACTGGCGCGCCATGAATTGAGGTTCATAATTAAAGGTGCAAAAAGTTTTTTGCCCTTTTTTATCAAGTTTTTTGCTGCTAAAAAGAGACCTGGGTTTGAGGGCAACGTCCCAGGCAAAAGGATAGGTGGGATGAGGACAAGGCTCAGGAGTCGGAAGAGGATTTGGTGCCGGAAAAGGCCAAAAGTGGTCGGGAGCATAACCCGCATATTTTTTATACATAGAAAATCGAGAGTTACTGCGGGTATCTGTTAAAATTGTGGTTATTATTGGATCGGAGGATTGGAGTTTACTGCGTCCTGAGCAGAGTCGGTTGAGGGCTAATCCCAAATGTTTTTCGGATATTGGCATAGTGGGCGGAGATCCTAAGTTGAACGCGTTGGGGAAGTAAAGACGGACCAAAGTTCTAAAAACCAAAAAGGACCCGATGCGGCAGTGTCTAATTTTCTATTATCATTATCTGTTAAACGAAGGCTAACCCTGGTGAGTCCTTCAAACAGATTGGCTAAAAACAGGGTGCCAAGGGAAAAGAACCGACCTGACGCGATATGAATGGCCAGGTCGAGATGAGAAGAAAGAACGCATTTAGAAGGGGAAACAATGACGTACCTACAAAGCCAAAAAAGAATAAAGGCAGTATGCTCCCGGTCGGTCACGGGGGTCCCTGGAGCCCCTTGCTGGTCGGTTGCGAACTTTGTCCAGCCCCATTCCTTCACGCCTTGTAAAGACCACCCTGGATGGTCTTCTGGTGGCTCCTGCCCATCTAGGGCTCCCATCACAGGGTCTTCACCCACGACTGGGAGATGCGCGATCATTGCCACATCCATGAGAGTCGGACCAAAGGGGCCCGACGGTAAGAGAAAAGTCCCATTTTCCGCATTCCAGAAGGCAGACATGGCTAGGAGCACCTTCTCGTGCAGATTGATCGGCATGGTGGACAATAGTATTGCTTGGTCGATTTTTTGAGATCGCCATTGGGTCTGGAAGTGTTCTGCTACCCGTCGATACCAAGAGCGGTAAGGATCTTTTGGGTCTGTGAGATGGGTTTTGATGCTGTCTCGAATGCGAACTGCTTGGTAGTTAGGGTTGTTGATAGCCAAGGAATTTCGGGATTCCAAAACTTCCCTCATCCGATTTGAGTCTTCAGGAGTAGTGCAGTATGGGCGGATCGTCGGAGTTAGTACTTTCGAGGCTGAAAACGGGCCCTCTGGGAGGGTTCCGTCGAAGGGAAGGGCAGGAATGTATCGATTCGCCATGGTTAGAGTGGTTGAATTGTGATTCACAAAGGCTCGTATTGCGGAGAAGGAAGTTAATCAGGAGTGTTGCAGTAACTGGTGCAGTTGCTAAGGGAATTTTTCAAGAGGGTGGTGATTTATGAACTTCCAAACATCGATTGTTAAATGGCGTTTGAAAGTCCCTTGGCGGCGGGCAAGTTGTTACGTACGAAATTTAGAATTAGGTTAAAAGCCCAAGGTAAAAAGAAGAATGGGCCTGGCAATAGAGTTGATTGAACTGGCTGAAGGACACCGTGAGGAAATCAAGGAAAATAGGTTTATTTCTAAGGAAAATACAGGACGGAAAGACCTCAGGTCGGAAGGTCTTCAGGTCGGTAGGTCCTCAGGACGGAAAGTCCTCAGGACGGAAAGACCTCAGGTCGGAAGGTCTTCAGGTCGGGAGGTCCTCAAGACGGAAAGTCCTCAGGACGGAAAGACCTCAGGTCGGAAGGTCTTCAGGTCGGGAGGCCCTCAAGACGGAAAGTCCTCAGGACGGAAAGACCTCAGGTCGGAAGGTCTTCAGGTCGGGAGGTCCTCAAGACGGAAAGTCCTCAGGACGGAAAGACCTCAGGTCGGAAGGTCTTCAGGTCGGGAGGTCCTCAAGACGGAAAGTCATCAGGACGGGAAGTCCGCAGGTCGGGAGGCCCTCAGGCCGGGAAGTTCTCAGGTCGGAACTCTGCGGCGGGACCAACAAGTCGGATGGTTTGTTAGTCGGGATGTCTGTAGCTAATCCAAACAAGTCAGATGGTTTGCAAGTCGGGAGGATTGGCAGTCGGACCAATGCGGTTGTAGATTGGCAGTCGGGCCAAAAGGGCGGAAGGTCTGTGGTCGGCTCAAAGAGTGAAATATAGGGATAATTTTGGTCTGCTGAGGACACGTGTCAGCAGGAGAAGGGTTGGAAGACGGTTGGGAAGGAGACGTTGTAACCGTTCGGGCGACGGTTTTCAGTACAGTTTCCCAGAGAATATTTAAGGGTTTGGATCATCATTTGGCAAGGCATCTTCAATCAACTTCAACAAAGCAAAGTCAGATTTGGGGATCACCACTTTAAATTTCAGTCTTTTATTTTCCAGTTTATTTTCTGTACCATACAGTGTTTAGAGATTCCTAATCTCAGGCACTAATTAATCAAGTTTAAGGATATTTTCTATATCTTTGAATTTTACTTTATTTTTGTTGAAAAATTACATCAACAGTTGTAGAGTGTTCGAAATTAGTATATTTAGCACTTTTGTTTTTTCATGTTTTTCCTTTATATTATATAGAATCTAATAGATTATACTTACTTTGTGCTCGATAGTTCTAATTGCAGTGCTTTTCGTATTTGTTGTAGAGTGTTCGAAATTAGTATATTTAGCGCTTTTGTTTTTTCAATGTTTTTCCTTTATATTATATAGCATGTTATAGATTATACTTACTTTGTGCTCTATAGTTCTAATTGCAGTGCTTTTCGTATTTGTTGTAGAGTGTTCGAAATTAGTATATTTAGCGCTTTTGTTTTTTCAATGTTTTTCCTTTATATTATATAGCATGTTATAGATTATACTTACTTTGTGCTCTATAGTTCTAATTGCAGTGCTTTTCGTATTTGTTGTAGAGTGTTCGAATTAGTATATTTAGCGCTTTTGTTTTTTCAATGGTTTTCCTTTATATTATATAGCATGTTATAGATTATACTTACTTTGTGCTCTATAGTTTCTAATTGCAGTGCTTTTCGTATTTGTTGTAGAGTGTTCGAAATTAGTATATTTAGCGCTTTTGTTTTTTCAATGTTTTTCCTTTATATTATATAGAATGTAATAGATTATACTTACTTTGTGCTCTATAGTTCTAATTGCAGTGCTTTTCGTATTTGTTGTAGAGTGTTCGAAATTAGTATATTTAGCGCTTTTGTTTTTTCAATGTTTTTCCTTTATATTATATAGCATGTTATAGATTATACTTACTTTGTGCTCTATAGTTCTAATTGCAGTGCTTTTCGTATTTGTTGTAGAGTGTTCGAAATTAGTATATTTAGCGCTTTTGTTTTTTCAATGTTTTTCCTTTATATTATATAGCATGTTATAGATTATACTTACTTTGTGCTCTATAGTTCTAATTGCAGTGCTTTTCGTATTTGTTGTAGAGTGTTCGAAATTAGTATATTTAGCGCTTTTGTTTTTTCAATGTTTTTCCTTTATATTATATAGCATGTTATAGATTATACTTACTTTGTGCTCTATAGTTTCTAATTGCAGTGCTTTTCGTATTTGTTGTAGAGTGTTCGAAATTAGTATATTTAGCGCTTTTGTTTTTTCAATGTTTTTCCTTTATATTATATAGCATGTTATAGATTATACTTACTTTGTGCTCTATAGTTCTAATTGCAGTGCTTTTCGTATTTGTTGTAGAGTGTTCGAAATTAGTATATTTAGCGCTTTTGTTTTTCAATGTTTTTCCTTTATATTATATAGCATGTTATAGATTATACTTACTTTGTGCTCTATAGTTCTAATTGCAGGCTTTTCGTATTTGTTGTAGAGTGTTCGAAATTAGTATATTTAGCGCTTTTGTTTTTTCAATGGTTTTCCTTTATATTATATAGCATGTTATAGATTATACTTACTTTGTGCTCTATAGTTCTAATTGCAGTGCTTTTCGTATTTGTTGTAGAGTGTTCGAAATTAGTATATTTAGCGCTTTTGTTTTTTCAATGTTTTTCCTTTATATTATATAGCATGTTATAGATTATACTTACTTTGTGCTCTATAGTTCTAATTGCAGTGCTTTTCGTATTTGTTGTAGAGTGTTCGAAATTAGTATATTTAGCGCTTTTGTTTTTTCAATGTTTTTCCTTTATATTATATAGCATGTTATAGATTATACTTACTTTGTGCTCTATAGTTCTAATTGCAGTGCTTTTCGTATTTGTTGTAGAGTGTTCGAAATTAGTATATTTAGCGCTTTTGTTTTTTCAATGTTTTTCCTTTATATTATATAGCATGTTATAGATTATACTTACTTTGTGCTCTATAGTGTTCTAATTGCAGTGCTTTTCGTATTTGTTGTAGAGTGTTCGAAATTAGTATATTTAGCGCTTTTGTTTTTTCAATGTTTTTCCTTTATATTATATAGCATGTTATAGATTATACTTACTTTGTGCTCTATAGTTCTAATTGCAGTGCTTTTCGTATTTGTTGTAGAGTGTTCGAAATTAGTATATTTAGCGCTTTTGTTTTTTCAATGTTTTTCCTTTATATTATATAGCATGTTATAGATTATACTTACTTTGTGCTCTATAGTTCTAATTGCAGTGCTTTTCGTATTTGTTGTAGAGTGTTCGAAATTAGTATATTTAGCGCTTTTGTTTTTTCAATGTTTTTCCTTTATATTATATAGCATGTTATAGATTATACTTACTTTGTGCTCTATAGTTCTAATTGCAGTGCTTTTCGTATTTGTTGTAGAGTGTTCGAAATTAGTATATTTAGCGCTTTTGTTTTTTCAATGTTTTTCCTTTATATTATATAGCATGTTATAGATTATACTTACTTTGTGCTCTATAGTTCTAATTGCAGTGCTTTTCGTATTTGTTGTAGAGTGTTCGAAATTAGTATATTTAGCGCTTTTGTTTTTTCAATGGTTTTCCTTTATATTATATAGCATGTTATAGATTATACTTACTTTGTGCTCTATAGTTCTAATTGCAGTGCTTTTCGTATTTGTTGTAGAGTGTTCGAAATTAGTATATTTAGCGCTTTTGTTTTTTCAATGTTTTTCCTTTATATTATATAGCATGTTATAGATTATACTTACTTTGTGCTCTATAGTTCTAATTGCAGTGCTTTTCGTATTTGTTGTAGAGTGTTCGAAATTAGTATATTTAGCGCTTTTGTTTTTTCAATGTTTTCCTTTATATTATATAGCATGTTATAGATTATACTTACTTTGTGCTCTATAGTTCTAATTGCAGTGCTTTTCGTATTTGTTGTAGAGTGTTCGAAATTAGTATATTTAGCGCTTTTGTTTTTTCAATGTTTTTCCTTTATATTATATAGCATGTTATAGATTATACTTACTTGTGCTCTATAGTTCTAATTGCAGTGCTTTTCGTATTTGTTGTAGAGTGTTCGAAATTAGTATATTTAGCGCTTTTGTTTTTTCAATGTTTTCCTTTATATTATATAGCATGTTATAGATTATACTTACTTTGTGCTCTATAGTTTTCTAATTGCAGTGCTTTTCGTATTTGTTGTAGAGTGTTCGAAATTAGTATATTTAGCGCTTTTGTTTTTTCAATGGTTTTCCTTTATATTATATAGCATGTTATAGATTATACTTACTTTGTGCTCTATAGTTCTAATTGCAGTGCTTTTCGTATTTGTTGTAGAGTGTTCGAAATTAGTATATTTAGCGCTTTTGTTTTTTCAATGTTTTTCCTTTATATTATATAGCATGTTATAGATTATACTTACTTTGTGCTCTATAGTTTCTAATTGCAGTGCTTTTCGTATTTGTTGTAGAGTGTTCGAATTAGTATATTTAGCGCTTTTGTTTTTTCAATGTTTTTCCTTTATATTATATAGCATGTTATAGATTATACTTACTTTGTGCTCTATAGTTTCTAATTGCAGTGCTTTTCGTATTTGTTGTAGAGTGTTCGAAATTAGTATATTTAGCGCTTTTGTTTTTTCAATGTTTTTCCTTTATATTATATAGCATGTTATAGATTATACTTACTTTGTGCTCTATAGTTCTAATTGCAGTGCTTTTCGTATTTGTTGTAGAGTGTTCGAAATTAGTATATTTAGCGCTTTTGTTTTTTCAATGTTTTCCTTTATATTATATAGCATGTTATAGATTATACTTACTTTGTGCTCTATAGTTCTAATTGCAGGCTTTTCGTATTTGTTGTAGAGTGTTCGAAATTAGTATATTTAGCGCTTTTGTTTTTCAATGTTTTTCCTTATATTATATAGCATGTTATAGATTATACTTACTTTGTGCTCTATAGTTTCTAATTGCAGTGCTTTTCGTATTTGTGTAGAGTGTTCGAAATTAGTATATTTAGCGCGTTTTGTTTTTTTCAATGTTTTTCCTTTATATTATATAGCATGTTATAGATTATACTTACTTTGTGCTCTATAGTTTCTAATTGCAGTGCTTTTCGTATTTGTTGTAGAGTGTTCGAAATTAGTATATTTAGCGCTTTGTTTTTTCAATGTTTTCCTTTATATTATATAGCATGTATAGATTATACTTACTTTGTGCTCGATAGTTCAAATTGCAGTGCTTTTCGTATTTGTTGTAGAGTGTTCGAAATTAGTATATTTAGCGCTTTTGTTTTTTCAATGGTTTTTTCCTTTATATTATATAGCATGTTATAGATTATACTTACTTTGTGTGCTCTATAGTATTCTAAATGCAGTGCTTTTCTTATTTGTTGTAGAGTGTTCGAAATTAGTATATTTAGCGCTTTTGTTTTTTCAATGTTTTTCCTTTATATTATATAGCATGTTATGATTATACTTACTTTGTGCTCTATAGTGCTCTAATTGCAGTGCTTTTCGTATTTGTTGTAGAGTGTTCGAAATTAGTATATTTAGCGCTTTTGTTTTTTCAATGTTTTCCTTTATATTATATAGAATGTTATAGATTATACTTACTTTGTGCTCTATAGTTCAAATTGCAGTGCT